AGTTTAAATCTTAGTAAAAGGCAGGATTAGGACAGGAAAGGTGGCTCAGTGGGTAGGACGCTGAGCTCGTCAATCAGGAAAGTCGGCAGTTCGGCGGTTCGAATCCCTAGCTCCGCGTAACGGAGGGAGCTCCTGTAAAGATTGAGAATGTATAAACATTCTCTTTAGCCAAGAGATGACAACAATTATGAATTAGCTGCATTTTAGTGTTCCCCTAGGGATGCAGTGGCTCAATGGCTAAGATGCTAAGCTTGTCGATCAGAAGGCCAGCAGTTTGGTGGTTCGAATCCCTAGCGCCACATAACAGAGTAAGTCCCTGTTACTTGTCCCAGCTTCTGCCAACCTAGCAGTTCGAAAGCAGGTAAAAATGCAAGTGGAAAAATAGGATCCACCTTTGGTGGGAAGGTAACGGCGTTCCGTGAGCCTTCGGCGTTGAGTCATGCGGGCCACATGACCACGGAGACGTCTTCGGACAGCGCTGGCTCTTCGGCTTTGAAACGGAGATGAGTGTCGCCCCCTAGAGTCGGGAACGGCTAGCACATATATGCGAGGGGAAACTACCTTTTTAGGAGAGGAAATCTCAATAAATTCAGGTACGGACAGGTAGTCCTTTTGTTCGAATCGCAGCCCAGTTGTACCTTAACAGCAGCTTAAATTGTCATGCTCCTCCCCACTGGCAAAACAAGCTTGTTGCCTGTGGACGTCCTTGTTCAAAGTGCAGAAGGAGATATAATGAAGAGTTGACAACGTGGTTTCGGGGTCGAGGAATAGAGATCTTTTTGAAAACAAGCAGTGGCTTGAATGTGGAGTGACAGCTGGGCCAGATGCTTTTTGCCTTCCATCCATGGAAGGTATTGATCTTCTTTGGCCCTGGATCGATCGCCGATCGCTGAGATTGCCGCCAGCCGTGTCCTCCCTGAGATCTCTTGCAAGCTTAATCTTTTATGCACAACAGGGAACTAAGCTTTGCGTGTTGACGGAACCTTTAGATCCGTGTTTCTCAACCTCGGCGACTTTAAATCCTGTGCACTTCAACTCCCAGAATCTGGGAGCTGAAGTCCACAGGACTTAAAATTTGCCAAGGTTGAGAAACACTTCTTTAGATGATGGTTTGTTTAGATGCTGGTTGACGATATCGTGGAAAGCCCCTAAGAGTCAACTCAACCACTCTTAGCCCAGTGAAGTAGCTAAACCGAGAAGCCAGCCCAGATGAAGGAATCCTACTTTATTGCAAGATTACCGTAACAGAATCTCGCCCCTCTCAAAGGGGAAGCGTTAAAAGAGGGACCAGCCAGGAATCCCTTACGTAGTCACAAGCGAACTCAATCCCAATTCCCCCTGGGGTGTCCCGGTGGCCCTTATCTAACTTCAGCCAGGTACAGCTTGACTCCGACTTGCGACCACACTGGAGCCCAACATTCCTGTTCTGAGCAAGGGAGTTGTTAGGTGAGTTTTTGTCCCGTTTTACGACGCGCCTTGCCACAGTTAAGCGAAGCACGTCAGTTGTTAAGTGACGGATACGGTTGTGAAGGGGAAAATAGCTTCCCCACTGACTTTTGTCTGTCGGGAGGTCCCAAAAGGTGATCACGTCACCCCAGGACACATGCGACCGTGATAAATGCACGCCATTTGCGCCCAAGCCTCTGGATTTGAGTCATGTGACCATGGTGACGCTGCAGTGACCATGGNTCCGAGGTGGGTAAAATGAGGACCCGGATTGTTGTTGGGGCAATATGCCAACTCTGTAAACCGCTTAGAGAGGGCTGAAAGCCGGAAGGATGGAAGGCTGAGTCAACCCTGAGCCGGTGAGATTAGAACCGCTGAACTGCAGATAACAGTCAGCTGAAGTGGCCTGCAGTACTGCACCCTAACCACTGCTCCACCTCGGCTCTTAAGAAACAGTTAGATAAAGTTTAAGGTTGGACTGCAAAGGATATTATGAGGCTTGGCTAGCCACTTGTACAACTTCACACCTGGCTATGCTTCCTAATCTCCCTGAACATCTCTGCAAAATATGTTTAGCTATTTTACCCGGATGGAAGGAGGTTTGCCATTTCCTTTAGCAAAAAGTTAACTTTATTATTCTGCAAGAACAACTCGATATTAACAAATTTCAGAGTCTTCTAGGAATGAAGCTTTGATATTTACAATTAATATAAATGGGAGAAAATTACTTTTGCCTGTTGGAAATTCCCAAATTTTGTATGAGGTAGCGCTAACAAAAACAACCATGAAGTTTCCTCTGCAGAATTCAAATAGAGGGAAATTATTTGTTTGAGGTGCAAATCTGATAGTGCTGATTCTGCAGCACCCCACGACCTCCTCACAAAGCAGCAGTAGTGTGTAAACACAGAGTTAAGGTTTTCCTCTGCATTCTCTCTTTACCTTTCATTCTCTCTATTTTTGTCTAACACTGCTAATTGGAGATTCTTTTTCTGCAGATATAAAATAGAATAGAATAGAACAGAACAGAACAGTTGGAAAGTGTGACCCGACAAATGCATGCACGACAAAAGCGTGCCGACAAAATTGCGGCGAGAAAACCGTGACATCATAAATGCGCCCAGAACAACGCGCTGACAAAACCGTGCCCACAAAAGCGCGATATAAGTTAAGGTAAGGGTTAGGTTCAGGGTTAGGGCTAGGTTTAGGGTTAGGATTAGGGTTAGGGTTATTAGGTTGTTATTAGTTGTTTGTTGAAGGCGTGCTTTTGTCGGCCCGTTGTTGTTGGCACATTCATCGGTGCGATTTCGACCTCACGGTTTTCTTGCTGCGGTTTCGTCGGCGCACTTTTGTCAAGCGCGCATTTGTCAGTGAACCGTTTCGGTAGAACCGGTTCATCAAATCTACCAGACCGGTTAGAAGAGGTTCCACCAGTGGATCCGGAAAGCAGGCCACACCTACAGAAGAGGNAACCATTTTTGAAACCCACCAGTGCATGTGGAGGGTGACTGGGAATGATTAGATGAGCTAGAATCAATTCTGTTTAGTGTATCAATTCAGAATGAAATCAACCAGTAAAGAAATGCCCAAAGAGATCAAGATTGAAACTGTTCAGGGTTTTCTTGACTGCAGCAGACAAATAGAAATAAAAGAACTAGAAAGGGCTATTTATTCTCCATCCAACAGCAAGAAATCTCAATTTACTCTGGACCTCTGGAATTTGCAGGTTCTGTAGAAATGGGGGGGGGGGACAGGACGCAACCTACCAGGTCAAATTTCAGAGGGGGCTTGGTGGGCAGCCCCTTTCCAAACACAGACTGTTGGCTGGAGAGCTCAGAAAGATGTGGCTGGATCCTCTCTGGTGGGCTCCATTTCGATACATCCTGGGCCTTCCCAAAGTAGCCAATATCTCTTTTCTGATACTGGAGCAATTGTTGTATGTTGTTTCTCTGTAGACCATAAAAACAATATGCAAATCAATTGCAGTTTAAGTACACTGCGTATGGCACAACTAAAACTTAAGCATTTCGAAATTCAGTTTATTGCAATTAAAGAAAAAGCAGATGAGAAGAACCCAAGGAAAAAGAAAATGGTATGAAGAAAATCATCTTCCCCACTGAAATAAACGTTAAAATCATTTTGGCTGAATTCTGCCAATATGCTTCTCCTCAGAAATACAAATTAATGGTTAAATGTCACTGCTTTCAGGGCTGGTTTAAACGGCTCTTCCTTTTTAATATGCCCTCTTTATTTTTCCTGAAGTCAACTAACAACCAATTAACAGCTTACTCAAACACTCATCCTTGGATGTTTAAAAAGAATTATTTCTGTCTAACAGAACTGGCTGCAATCCAGAAAGCAGTGCATTTATTTGTCTCAGCTCTTAAAATCTTCGTCTAAAGATGGGAACCAGTATGCATTTTCCAATCTGGCTGCGTTGGTTTTATTTCGGTCATTAACCAAATTTCTGTTTTGTTTTCTTTATTTGACAGAGGCTCTATTGCAGAGGTGGGTTCCTACCAGTTCGCACCAGTTCGGTAGAACCGGTTCGTCAAATCTACCGAGCCGGTTAGAAGAGGTTCCACCAGTGGACCCGGAAAGCAGGCCACACCTACAGNGCGTGGGCGGGTTATTTGCGTGGGCGGGTTATATGGGTGAAAATACGGTAGTTGATGGAGCTAGAATGCAAAGTGAGTGAGGTTAACTTTTATTTCGCTTTCTGATGCATTTTTTTCCTTTCTTCTCTTTCCAGGTAATAGCTACAAGCAAAGAAAAATAAAAAAAATACTTTTTATCAAGTGTGTCTTAAGAGTTTTGACCACCCCATGCAGTTTTATACTGTTGCTCCAGGCCACCCATTTCTGCTTTAGTGGATCTTCTGTGTTTTTAATTCCTCTAATAACTCCTCATATGTTGTTTCTGTTTTGAACTAATAGCACCCCCTTTGCCCTTTGACACGCACTACACTTGTTCAATTTCATGTGCAAATTAAAAACAAACTACACATTCACACATTCAGACAGAGTCTTACTTCTGACTGGATAAACCAAAATGTTTCATTGTAATAAATGATATTAATGAAAGACTATAAATAATAAAGCTATTGGTCTGAGCTCTGAGATTGGCTCTTTGGTTGTAAAGGTTTCATCACCATTAGAGGAGACATCATCTGTGGGCTTTGAATTGTGCTCATCTATTGGAGCACTGGTCTTTAAATACCTTTTTATGTGATGCAAATTAGTGTGGAGGTTATTTGTTCGGCTACTTCTGAGTCATGGTCCGACTTCGGATCGTTTGATTGGCCAGCTATTGTTACTGAGGCATGGTCTTTGGTTTTAAGTACCGTTTATGTGATGTAAATGAGTGTTGTTGGTTTGGATACCGCTGAGTCTGAGTTTCGGTCTGTTTGAATGGCTGGTTGTTGTTTCTGAGAAGTGGTCCGATTTCTTTATACCCGAGTTACTTATAATCCAGTACATTTCAATATCGATAACACTAATTCTGGAAGAAATTGGCCAGCGATAGACAATGGGTAGTTTTTTTCCCCCCCTGAGGTTGCAGCTTCAAAAAAGAGCAATGTTAAATACCTTACCTAAGTTTCTCTATTGTAGTCTTCTTATTAATAAAGAGCACTCTAATCAAGGTCTTCCTCTTGAAGTAGACAAGTAAACTGGCCGCCAGAAGGCAGAGGATGGTTATAAGTATTGCAATTAAGCTTCTGTTATCTAAAACAAACAAACCCACAATCCTTAATTAAAAAGAAGATTAAATAAAAAAAGCACATACTTAGGTTTTCGGGTAACAGTATTCCTAATCTACAATCATGCACACATCCTCAGAGAGAGAGAGAGAGAGAGAAGATTAAATAAAAAAAGCACATACTTAGGTTTTCGGGTAACAGTATTCCTAATCTACAANGTTTCAAGGTTAATTCCTTATTTTTAATAGAAATTCTGGATATATTTGCACATGTCTGTACTGTAAGATGCTGTTATATGCACAATTGCAATGGTTAGTGTGCATTAGCCAAAGATATTTCTTTAATTGGCAGGTTGTTACATTCTGAATTCTTCGGGGGAATGACATTTTTGTAATTACTGTGTTTCTCTGACTTGTGCTGCAGCTTGGAAAAGGCTTATAATACATAAATATTACAAATAATAACTATTGAGAAAAACATTGCAATCGTTTTAATGATATCTAATTAAATATCCTTAGACCATAGGTGCAAAGGTTGGAAGAAGGCAACGGCAAATTATTGATAATAAGCAAACGACACAGATACGTATGTCGATATGGACTCTTGGACCTGAGCTTGACTCAAGGGAATCTTTGACTTTACGTTTAGTTCAACTATGTAAAACCCACCCTGGGTGTGGTTGAGTTTTGTGGCTGTTTGTCTAGTTTCTTACTGAGGGACGTTGCGGTATGAACATGATTAGATTCAGATGAACTGGAAGGCCTTGTTTGACTCACAGACCTGCAATGCAAAAACACTCGTTAAAAGATAACTACTGCTTGGAAAGTACATCATCAGGGTTATAGTTTGATATAACGCTCCTGTATCTTTATTTTTTATTAGTAACAGTGACTGCAAAATCCATCCAATACTCTTGCAAGAATAAAATTATTGATTTTTTTGTTGTTGTTTAGAACCACCAGTCTGTTAAATTAGCTCTGGCAATCTGTGGAAATGCTGCTTTATAGCCCCCAAGGGATACCTCTAATGAAGCTGGTGTTTAAGAAGTAACGACCTTCAATGGGCTGGAGACAAAAGGCTACTTCCAATCTTCCAATATTTCAAGCAAGCAAACGCCTTTTACTTTTTAATTGCTTACCACAAAGCAAAATGAGGAACAACAGCAAGAACATCACAAAGTGCTCTGGCCTTGATTTAGAGCCAGGAAACCCCCCCAAGCAATTTATATTCACGATAGATACAGTATTTCACACCTTTGCGATGTGCCTACATTATATAAAACAACTACAATTCAATTATCTGCTATAAAGAATGGTATCCACCAAAAGGTAAGCAGACGAGGTTGAACACAATTTTATTTCAAGTATTATATAAGGTTTTCAAGGTCTTGAGGTCTTGAACCTTGGCATTCTTTTTCATGAAATACCAACTGATATTTCTTTCACTTTGTTTAGGTAATTCCTTTCATAATAGGTGAGACAAGAAAGCTTCACTACTTGAGATGAATGAATAGAAAAAAAAATAACCTCTTCAATATCTTGTCTATTTTAGGTATTTAAAAAAAAACCCCATCTCTAGTCCCATCCAGTAATGGATTGTCAACTGCTCACTTACAGCAAAATAAGCATATGAATTTCCTGACAAATACAAATACTGACTTTAATATTTATATGCTTTAACTATGCTTATTGCTTTGTTTTAACGTTGTAGCTTGTTGATCGCCTTGGTAAAAAAAAAAAAAGGGATATCAATCAAAGTAATAAAATAATATCTCCTTCTTAAGAGAGATGTTCCTGGACAAACAAGGTAGGAAAAAATTAATTCCCTACTCCACACCAGCTCCAATCTCATTAAGACTACTTTCCTCAGACGATGCCTTGACATTTTTAAAAAATAAAGAAATCCAACATGAGAGACACGATGCCTCATTGCTGGCAAAACCAGATTTTATTCTGTTGAGGGACACAATTCTGCAGAGATACTGCACTGATGGGCCAAATCAGAGGTGGGTTCCTACCAGTTCGCACCTATTCGGTAGAACCGGTTCGTCAAATCTACCGAACTGGTTAAAGAGGTTCCACCAGTGGACCCGGAAAGCAGGCCACACCTACAGAAGAGGTTCCAAAAATTTTTTGAAACCCACCACTGGTCCTTGGATATGATTATTCTACACTATCGTGCTCATATTTATAAAACTCAGTGCCTCTGTGAAAGGTAAGGATGACTACTGCGTTTGTGGTGCAATCAGAACATTGCGTGTGTTGAAGTTGTTNCGCCGGCCCTGGTCCAACCGAACCAGTTGGAACGGGGCGAGAAACCCACCCCTGGCCTGAAGAGAAGCCTCCACCTTGAAGTTTAGAAGGTTGACCATCCAAGACAGAAAGAAATCATATCTGCTCCTGCTTGTCATATATAATTTCTGTCTTGCTTGATTATCTGAAACACTGTTTACAGTAATGCTGGGTTATGCTGCTTTTAATATATTTATATTTTAATTGCATGTTTGATTTCCCCCCCTAAATATTTCCTTGGAGACCTAAAGGATGGGCTGACTCACTAAATGTTTTAACTTCATTTTTTGTGTGTACAACATTTAAAAAATATTTCAGTTCTGTTACATCTCCTTGGCTAAACATGCCTCTGTTCCAAACAGTTGCATACATTTGAAAGAATCCTTCACCCCAGTGGATTACGCCTGAAACATTACCAAGAGCATAAGTGAACTCATTCTAGTTTTTAAACTGCTGAATGTTAATTTTTGCAAGGATAAGGTCACCGTGACCAGCAATATTGCTTTGTCAAATAAAAGCCACGTTTACTTTCTTGGACATTGAAAGGGCATTGAAAATTGATCTTTCTGGAAGCAGAGGCTGAAAAAAAACCTGACAGATATATTACCCCCCAAAAATCACCGTTTTAAGCGCTGTAACCAATGAATGATTTATTGCTCAGCTGGAGATTGACTGACTATAAAAAATTGAATCTGTAATACTTACCCCACGCCCGTGACATTTTGTTGCACATTGATGAACACCCAATACACTGGTGTTTTGGCAGCGGCGGTTAAGACAAATCTGTAAAGACACAAGAGCAAACAAAAGATAATTTATGGTATAAAGACCAAAACAATTGGATTTTTTCCTTTCTCTGTTGTATTTCTAATTCAAGACAAAATAGCCAATCCCTTCTGGTTATGATTTTAAACTAAATTGATTTAGTAGATTTAGTAAATTTATCAACCAATATTGCACCATGAAATAATATATTAAGATGCTGAGACCTAAAGGGTTCTGAACGAAATAACTTGGAATATGGAACAAATCTGCAGGCGTAGAATATGTAGGAAGTATGACGACTGCCAGGGATGTACAGTCAGGGGAGGCAGAGCCTCACTACTGTCATCATGAAAAGAAAAAAAAATGTAAAAGGAAAAAGGCAAGAGCTGA